AAAGGCTAAATATTAACAACATACAGATGTGGCTTTACAGTTCAAGCAATGAGAGTAGATATAGTAAGGAGAATCTTCATATTTGCTAACCATTGTAAGAGGAGAATGACAAAATGAGGCAGCTTCCTTGTATGATGCTCTAATATGGTATTACCGTGTTCTCCTACAAACTCTGTCTACATTGCTTTCAGTTTTGTGACAAGACACTATAAAGCTTTGTCCCAGATTCCTGCTGAAATATCAACAATACCAAAAACCATAAACATTTGATTGATAACACAAACCCAAACTAGAATCATCAGAGATTTCCCCTTGGTTAAAGAACGTACTAAAACTAAATTTAGAAACATCATTGGCAAAGCATACATTTCTTGGGTTTTTTATTGTTGTTGTTAGGATATGATTGGCTAAAAACTATACTAAAGGAAAGAAAAAGACATTAGTTTCTTTTGTGTCTTTCTCCTTTCTGAAAGAGGTGAAGAGAGCTGAGTGGCAGGGCATTCACTTAGTGCGAGCCAGGCTCTGGTTCAATTCCAAGCACCACAAAAACATAGAAGAGAAACCAGAAAGCCTTAAAACAGTTAAACAAGTCATCATGTTTTTTAAACCTGCCCCATCCTAAAGACAAGATAACTGATCACTCCTTTTTATAGATCTGTTCTCCACCCATCATCCTAATCAAAACTGTTCTATTCTTACTCAAAACTCCAGCTAGAAAAGTTCAGAAGCATCAGAGTAAATGAAGGCACTATGCCACTGGCTGAAGCCTTTGCATACTGGGGATAAATAATCTAACGGCAAAAATTCTATAGCATCCTAAAGACTACTAGAAACTAAAGTTCAGTAGATGATTTTTCAGAATAAAATCTTGGCATGCTCTGACATGGTACTACTGTCTTTGTAAACAGAACAATGAAGCAATGAGCCCTGGGCTTATTGGCAGTGAAGATAAAGAAAGGTTGAAAATGAAAGAGAGACAAATATTTATCAAATGAATGCAAACAAAATGAAAACAGGAATGGAAATTTTAATTCCAGACAGAGTAGACTTCAAAGCCAAAAGCAGAAGAAGCAAAAGGTCTGGCAGGAGGCAGGGACTTAACAAAGACCAAAGGCTCATCATAAGCCACACACCTAATTATGAAACATCAAATTAGAGAGTGCTAACACTGCTGGAAAGTCAAGGGAAAACAGAAAGAACGACAGTTTGGAGGATCTGTACTAACTTCTCACCTAATGTAGAACGAGCAGATAGACAAACTGAGGCAAGTTGAAGGGAGAGTACAGGGCTGAAAAAAGAGCATCAGTGCTGTCACCAACACCAACCCATGTCCTGAGAAATGGGCCAGTATGTTTTACCTCCAGATCACTCAGCACTGGGACTATGGGGGGACTATGGGTATGCCATCACACATGCTCAAAGACTTTGCAGTCAATTTTTCTACTATATCTGTGTTACTGGAAGAACAAATGCCTGGCCGTGGGAGATGGAGCATGCTCAACAGCAATTTCTGTCTATTGATAAATTCTCCTTATGATCACATTTTGAATTTCTGTAGTTCTGACCTTCGACATTGTAATCCGTTCACATAGATAGCATATCGGTGTCAAATCCCCCTTATATGAAAAAGAAAAGATGGTTTTGTTTCCCAAAGTTGCTGACACAATCCTAAGACTGTTGGGGTCCACCTGATTCCCATGCATACGACAGACTAACTGGGACTTTTCTCTAAAGTAAATAGAGCCAGAAAGAGTGCGAGGACAAGAATGGTCTGAGTATGTAATGACTGTCTATGGCATATCCAAAGAAGATCGTAACTGAGCTTCAAGACTTACAGGCTCCTGATCAGCAGACAAGCTGGAAGAGTCAGCAACTGAGCAGCTGTCTTAAGGTGAATGAGACTAAGAGACACCAAAGCTAACAGGTGCCCCCTCTCCTCCCTTGCACCTCCCCTTCTTTTTTCTTTTTCTTCTAAAGCTTTCACTAACTAACCCATTCCCAGCTCTTTAATTCTTCATTGAGTTCACACCAGATTTTTACTTCAACTTTGGAATCATGTAGAAAACTTTATAGTGAAGTCTTTTTTTGTTTTTGGGTTTTTTTTTGTTTTGTTTTGTTTTGTTTTTTTGTTTTTAGCTTAGGTGACAGGTACACATGACAGACTTAACATAGCCCAAACCTAAAATCTTGAGGTTTTTATCCCAGCTTTTGTCTATGACCTTGACCTCTAAATAAACAGTATTGTTCACCTAGAAAAAAATCATAAGTAGTCCACAGGTCTTAATTTCAAGTGTTCATTCTTCATTCATATGTATATATATATCTATGTATATATATGAGACACACACACACACACAGAGTGTGTCTCACAGCCCAGGCTGGCCTTGAACTTACTGTGTATCTGACAGAACTATTGATGAATCTTCTGCTTCTACCTTCCCACTGCTGGGATTATATGCCTGTGCTACCATGCCTTGTACCAGCATAATGCCAGGTAAACTACATTCCTCATCCACCCACTTGTTGATTATATAAAAATTCAACAAGCATATGCTTTGCTTTCCAATGATGTTTCTTAATTTAACTCCACTACACATTTTACAATCTAATTCTCAGGGCTTAACTTGGGTTTTCTTTTTGATAAGAGTTCACTTTTTTTTCCTGTATTGTTGGTATTTCAGTGGGATGCAGGGAAAAATTACGTTGTATAAAGAAAAAAAAAAAAAAAAAACAAATGGCACCATTGAGTAAGCCTCAGGATTTTTGGCTTTCAACTGAGATTCTATGTATCAATCAAGTTGAGAGAAGTTATGGTGTTCTAGGAGAGACAGGCTAAAGGTCACTAATAGCTAAATATAAAATGGATAACATATTGTATATTATCAGGCATCTGTCAGCTTTCCCTTATCCATGTAAGTATTAATAGAATTGGGGTTATAAGGCATAAAAAGGAAGTAGCCAAAAAGTCCCTTTCACAAAACTTACAATTTTAGGGTTTCAGGTTATGGAACCCTGTTGTTGTAGCTACACATACAATAATGATTGATGTAAAACTGCCACCAAAGACTTCTGCCTTATGAGTGCAAAAAAATTCACATTTAAAATATATTTATGACAAAAATACATGAGACTCTTTAGGTATCCTGTGTATAAAAATTTACTATATTGTACTGATCTACTGGCTGCGAAGAAAAAGCCAATTTTCATGGCTCCTGTCAGTCACATGTGGTTTGGAAATGTTTATGCATTCCAGATGTACTCAGTGTAAACTGGAGAATCATATCCTATTTCTGCTGGCTTGCATGCACGCATATAAAACTTGTTTTTCTCACAGTGCCACATGAAAATACATGAAGAACTAGCAGCAGTGATCATAATTAATTAGCTTCCTTCTTGAACTTTCGCGGCTATAACGCTGAGGGCAGTTCTGATCCTTCGTGTTTACAGAGCCTGTGACTTCTGCTTTTCTTGTTCAGTTTTGTTCCCTAGAACATTAAAAACAACCTCCATGCCACATAAGGTTATTATACCTGCTATGTGTCAGGCCCTCTGCTAGGCACTAACAGATACTGAGCAGGATTGGCACTGCACCACGAAGTCCAGAGTTCAATGTGAATGAACACCCGGTCAAAGAAATATTACCATACAATGTGGTGGCCGCTTTGGTACAACTGACCCATGGAAACAATGAAGGAGAAGTTTGACAGAGCCTCGGAGGATGTGTGTCCAGATGATGAAGTTTGAAATGACAAGGACTGGAGGGCATTCAAAAGAGTAGGAACATCATGTGCACAGACTCATTGAGAACACATGATTCAAGGACCTGAAAGAAATGTTGTGTGGCTTAAGGCCAGACATAGAGCCAATACAGCAAACAACTTGAGAATACATGAGGTGATTATTAGGAAAGACTATGATCTTCTAATAGTATACATTTTGTGTTAAGGTTTGAAAGTGTCTTCTAAGAAGACATGAACATCATAGATGAACAAGCTAATGATACAATGTCCAGTATCCAGACTGGCTCTCGCTATGTTCTGCTTCCTAACACTTAGCACAATACCTGGCATCTAGTTAATGCTCAATTAAACAATCCACAATCACAGCATGTAGGCAATAATCTCTCGCATGTCCCCAGGGATCTGTGTTTTTATATAAACCCTCTCCTTGATCACAGGCTTGACGTGTTGACTCATTTCTAGAGCATCAAATATGTCAGAAATAGTGGGCTGCCACTCTTACTATAAGGATATAAAAATGACCGTGGCTTCCCTTTTAGGAAATTCCTCAAGTATTCATCATCTTTGGGCTTTTTTTCCTGTAGGATTATTAACTACCGTGTCTAAGACACTCAGTTTATGAAGAGTCTTACATGGAGCAAACTGCGTCAGGCTATGTTAGATTGCCCACTGCTCATTCCACTGGGTAGTCATACTTGTGTGAGATTGCCCAGTGTTCACACTTATTGGGTGTAGCCACGCTTATGTGAGATTACCCACTGTTCACTCCTATGGATACGCACAGATCAAGGCTCATATAGCTAATATAATTCCCAATGTCCATATGTGGCCTTATGATTATGTGATATGCCTTAGCAAGGAATTCTTACATTTTCTGTATATACTGTCCAGGTGGGAACAAGTAGTTAAATATAGATTGCTGAGGGAACATTGAGTTTTTGGCACAAAACTTTTGGCAGTTTATATAACAATGTCGGTTTGAAGTCAGTGACTTTATATGTAAAAAAGATGTTAAGACCTTGTAAAGATGTTAAATATTTACAAAAACGTTACACTCAACTAAAGAAAGAAAAAATTATCTGAAAAAAAAAAGTTTGACTTCTACAAGTTATTCTTTTCTTGATTCACAGAATGTTTTGTTAGCTCTTAAATCCATCTTTCCATATGTAAGCAACCACTATATATCATTATGAGCGTAAATAATAGCAGTATGTTATAGTCACAGGGGAAGTGGGAAAGGGGGAAAAGCAAGCTCTGTACCTCTGTCCCTGATGGTTCTGCTCCAGGATGCAGTTATCGGGAGCTGAAGACCTGGTGTGGGAGGATGTCCTTAGAGCCACTGCTGAGATGCCTACCAGTGGGGATGAAAAATTCAGCAGCATGGAGGAGGTATGGTGGGGGCAGGCATTCGCATGATGGCTCATATTGATAACCAGTGGATTATGTTGACATGACAGGTCATAGGTTCCTGAGGAGAAATAAGGTAAAGAACACTATTCTGAGCCATTCACTTAGAACCTTGTAGTACCTATTTATCCTCACTATAACTATGTGACCTATGAAAGACCACAAGCATTTTCAGAGGTCAACATCAAACTCTTGAGTCTACTGGAATAGCTGCTAGAGGTTCTAAAGGAATAACTCTCAACTCACCAAGAGAGTGGTTGCTTCCACTGACATCAATCAAGTAGGCAGTCACTGTTGGCTGCTGCTGCTCCCCAGGGACCAGGCCATCAGATGCCAAGAAAAGGAAAATTGCCACAGCAACTCCTGGTCTATCGAAACACACCTAGGTATAAGCACATATAGTATAAGCCATACTTTCTGTAGGCAGTCAAGGTATGTGCCCATCTTAACTCTATCATTCTAGAACAGGTCTTTGAAAGGAAGAACTTTGTTCTTCTTTGCCATGGGAAAACCACATGGAGTAAGGCCAGCAGGATCCAAAGTGACAGCAGATATCAAGATGAGATGAAAAGATGGTTGGTAGCTGCTGAGCATTCTTTGTCAAAACTGCTTAGTTCCACTGCTCTATTCATTGTGGCTTGGTCTTGCTTGTTTGCCTGTTTGCTCATTTGTTTGTTTGTTTGTTTGTTTGTTTGTTTTGAGACAAGCCCTCATGAAGACCAGGCTGGACTCAAATTCACTACTTACCCAAGCATGATATTGAACTTCTGATTGCTCTTCCTCCAAACTTCGAGTAATGGGATTACAAGCAAGAAATATCACACCTGGCTTAGAGCTGTCTTTCTAAATTTCTCAACGGAGCAGTGGCAGAGATAATAATCCTCTACATACTAATCAATAACCCTTCCACATTAAAGCGAGAGAAGTAGACAAGATGGTCAATTAGCCAACATCCAGGTAAACAAGCTAATTTCTTCCGATCTGTCCCAGATGAGACCAGGTATTCATAGCTATCCCCGCCCCACCACCCCATCTTTCTGTCTCCTGCCCTTCTTTCTCAGAAAGTCTCAGTTACCAGGCAAACTATGAAGTAGGGGAGAAGCTGTGAGGTGTGAATGAGCATGGCCCCATAGGCTCATATATCTGAATGCTTAGTCACCAGAGAGTTGAACTTAAAAAAAAAAAAAAAAAAAAAAAAAAAACATAGAGTAGGTATGGTATTGTCAGAGGAATTGTGACACTGGGGGTGGGCTTTGAGGTTTAAAAAGCCCAAGCCAGCCTGCCAGACCCAGTTTCTCTCTCCCTATCTCTTCCCCTTGCCCCTACCTCTCCTTCCCTCCTTCCCTCACTCTCTCCCCATTCCCTTCTCTCTCTCTCTCTTTCTCTCTCTCTCTCTCTCTCTCTCTCTCTCTCTCTCTGCCTAGGGATCAGGATGTAACACTCAGCTACCTCTCCAGCACCATGCCTGAATGCCACCATGCCTCTACCATGATAATAATTGACTAAGCCTCTGAAACTGTAACCAACACCCCTAATTAAATGGTTTCTTTTGTAACAGTCACCTTGGTCATGGTGCCTACTTAGAGCAATAAAGCAGTGCCTAAGACAGATAGTATAACAGAATCTGTTGCCTCGGAGGTTAAATCTTGACACACTTCTTGGGAAGCTTCCTCTGTGTCTCAAGCTTAGGTACCTGCCCCTTGCTTGAAACGAAGCCAAAACTGGAGAAAGAGAATTTGAGTTGTACATATGTCATATTCCGAAGTGACGGGTTCAGAATAAACTATAAAAACTTTGTTTTGGAGAATTGTTTGAAAGGAAATAGAGCATATTAAAAGTTCAGGGATGAAATACAACCATCCACTAGCCAGATTTAATGCTTGTTTTCTACACCAGACATATTTAATATACTAATTGTACTATTGTTTTGCTTCATACACCTGAACGTCACTTCTAATTTCTTATTGAGCATAATTCCTAAATTTTCTCACTGCTGCATGGATGTTACATTCTTATTTTCTGGAACTTACAAGTTAATTAAAAAAAAAAAGAATGTCTTTTAATTTTTGAGATTATATTATAATTACATCAATTCCAATTCCCCCCGCACACATACTTTTTTTTTCTCCCTTCAAACACTCTCACATACCTCTCCCTGTTATTGCTATTTTTCATTTTCATGGCCTTTTTTTGTCATTAACTGTGCGCGTGCACACACACACACACACACACACACACACACACACACTGCAGATTCTATACACATATATTGCAGATTCTATAACAGTAACCTGTCTTAGTCATTGTTGTGTGTGTGTGTGTGTGTGTGTGTGTGTGTGCAACCTGCTCAGTCTGTATAATGTTACTTGTATACATGTCTCCAGGGATGAACACTGTAGCTTTTTCTTGGGTTCTAAGCATGATATAGTTCTAGTATAGAGCATAACACGTCTAATTGTAGGGACCTCCTCTGAAGTGGGGAAAGAGTAAAACATGTTTTCCATTTTAACAAGAATTCTTTCTTGTCCACAGACTGGGATTTCCTGAGTCCTGGCAGCATGCTTGTAGAGTTTATTTGCACTACTGGCTTAATTAGGGCGATTTTACGATTTTCAGTGGTCAGGGCAACACAGCTCTTTCTTCCTCCTTTCCACCTTTGTGGGAAAGTCCAGCCATGCTCTCTTTACACAGTGTCTCCCCTACTCTCTTTTCATTTCCCTTCTTTGAAGTAATAAACATTCCTTCATAACTTCAAAAACATCCAGGCTCATCGGCTACAGATTTTGAATGAAGTCCTCTCTCTTTGGATGGCTGCGGGCTAGAAATAAAACATATCCCAAGTCTAGCTCAAAGCTCTAGACCCTAGCAACAAATGCCATCAAAGTCTCCTGGGAACTTCCCATAGCCCCTTCCTTTCCATATACCACAACAGAGACCAGAGACTGGAAGACAGCTCTTTTCCTGGGCCAGAAATAAGAGCTCAAAGAAAAGGCCTCAGAACTGAAGAGTAAGGTGGCCTCAGCAAAACACAAGGCATCTCAGTCTTCCATTCATCTCAAAGTAGGTAGCAGAGGTAGGATTTATGGTGGGTGTGGGCTTTTCTGTCCGGAGGGTCCATACCCACACCTCCTAATGCAGTTTGCATCTCTTAACAACATAGACTTCTGGTCTGTGGCAGTTTGAACACCAAATTACTTTGAACTTTCAAGCCTATTCCATGGCAGTGCCTCTGTGTCATGCTTTGTAGGGAGAGGTTACAACAGGACTTCCAGGCCACAGGTTAGACAGGAAAACCACAGGTGAGACTTATGAGAGGCACACTGTTGGGTCACACAAAGCCGAGAGAAAAGATTTGATCAGGTTATAGGCTGCTGAGTTTGGGACATTTCCTCTCACAGGAAAGATAGGCGAGTTTAATTCTCAAACTAAGCCCAAGTATATCCCACAGCAGTGACTAGAAGCACAAAAAGCAAACATTTTATCTCACAACTATTCGCACTGCAATTGCAGAAACCAGTCTCCACCTCCACATTTGTGAGTTATCAACTTGCATTCAGGTAAAAAGGAGCCAAGATTCACTGTTAGGGGAAGAGGAAAAGAGAGGAGAGGAGAGGGGAAGGGGAGGGACTAGAGAGGAGGGGAGTGGGAGAGGGGAGAGGAGTAGGAGAGAGTAGA